TAAGAAATCAGGTGCAGATGGAAAACGTAGTCTGGAAGAACACATAGGCGACTTCTTCTTAATTAACGAATTATGTATTCCATGTTTTCATTGTAAAATTATAAAAATTCCCACGACTTCAGTACATTTATTTGGATGCTAGATGAAAATATAGTCAATGGTCGTAACAAACTTACCAACATAACAGTAAATTACATAATAAGAGTTGTTCGTTTCACTACAAAGTCAGACATAAAGCATAAAGAGGTCTGCGGTTTATAGATGGGCTGTGCCGTCAAATTAATATGAACAGTCGACCACTTAAACGTGGACCTTTATCATAAATTGTCAGGTAATTTGAAGTAGGCAGCTGAAATCGCTTTCATTAATGATTTACTGAGCTTCAAACTGGACGTCCATGTCTACGTTGTATTTTATGTCTACGATGTGTTGTTAATGCCTAATGTAATATTTATGTTAATAACGAAATCGATACCTTGTTGGTAGAGACTGTTTGAATTTAGTAATAACTGTAATAAAACATCTACCAAGAAGATGATGAGTGACGTTAAATTATGTAAATTTCCTTATTGTGATTATCATTTGTAGCTTTGTCGACTTAAAACCTTTTTTAATGTGAAACAATGTTAGCATCGAACAAAGTTCGTAATCAATGCAAAATGTACGAGCAGAGCGAAACATTGAGTCCCGGTTTTGGCAACGCGATACTTGTAACAATACGAAAAAAGTTTCATTTTCGATCAAAACAAATAGCCCAGATAGGAGATGCATTGAATGAACCCGCGCCTCACTGTATCACTCAGCACTTTCAACATTTTCACGTTTCAAAATATAGAACAGTCAAAAAATAGCCACCGCAGCGAGCATTTGTGGAGCTCGGCAACAACCCGCCCCGGAGATACTCGCAGCGGACACTTCTCAACTATCATATTCTGCTTCTATCTGAGGCTTATTGTACAAATTAGGTTTTATACCTTAGCCGCTTCTACTATGAATTTGCTTTGAACGATTTTGTACTGCCTTCAGAAAAACAATTTCATTTCAGAGTATTTAGTTTAATCAGAACCTAATACATTATGTTTGTTTTAATTTAGTTTTACTTTAGTTATTAAAGTTGATACGTATCCTTTTAAAACATAGTTAAAATAACTATGTTTTTAAAGGATACATTTGTTTGGTAGAGTTAAGCTGAAATAAGTTTTGGATGTAATCCAATATATCAAAGGCAGCCATCGCTGCGACAGATTTATAAGGGTACGAAAAAAAGACAGAAAATCTTTTAAAGCTATTGTAAACCAAGTACTGTTCTAACCTGCTTTTATAATTATTTGTTGGAAGTATGTTTAACACAACAACAACATGCAGTCAATGTATTTTCAAAAATGTAGTTGCTACTAAGCGTTTTCCTTCAAAAGCTTTCCAAATTCAAAAAGTTGACAAATAATAAGTTTGTCTGTTGTTTGTGAAATATCATTAAAAGTCCAAGTAAGTTTAAAAATGTATTCTTAAATAGTATTACAACTTTGAAATGAAAGATTCAAAAGACTGCGAGAAAATTGAATAAAACTTAGTGAGATCTCGCTGGCAGGCAACAACGTTTTACAAACTTAAAAACCTTGTTGAGCCAGGTGTAGTGCAATCTTTAGTTTAGCAAAAAATGCATCGAAGTCAAGTTTTTTGGTGTAATGTTAAATTAACCAAGAAAAGACGCATTTATTTAAAACACAGTTTTCAGGAAAATTGTGCTTTTTATATTTCAGATATATTGATGTAAAAGTTAGAATCAGAACATTTGTCCCCATTTTGGGGCACATTTAGTTTTGGCGCAGTAAGCATATACTCCAAATAATAGCACCTCGTCATATTTTACACAAAAGCAGAAAAAAAGTTTGCTAGTGTTTTCGTTCATACTATGCCTTCATAAATCTGTCGACACGCCGCCGCCGGCTGCTTTTGATGTATTGAATTAAGCCTAAACCTGTCGCGCCCTGGTTACACTGCCTGCTATGAAAATAATGCAAATTATTCCTAAAAGAATATGGATTTTATTGTCATAATATTCAATATTTTAATGCTAAAACAATATGTTTTCTAATCACTAAACTATGTTGAAAATTTAATAAAGTAAAGAGAATATTATCATAGCTAATATAACAAAATTCTAATTTATATAAAATTATCAATACATAGATTTGTTATTTAACTTTTATCTGACTTATACACGGGTTATAAAATAACCAAAAAGAAATACGAAATATTTGGGAAGCCAATTCGTTTCGACACGTCGTCGGCTGCTTAGCGAATATCGAATCCGTCACACGTCAGTTTTACTGTCCGGGCCGCCGATGAAATCCGATAGTCCATAAAACTGAATCTGAATGCGAATTGTTAAAATACAAAAATTATTCCTCATTCTGGCTAATGTTATGACGCTTCAATTAATGCATGAATACAACGTTTTATTCAACGTTATTAACGTTGTACTCATTATTCAATACTGAAAAACAAATTTTACTATTACATTACTTACAATAAAACTATCAACTGTTAATGATAGTCTAAAAACCTCCTGCGCTTTTGTCCTATTAACTTATGACTAGCTTATTAAAAATAATAAAAACGATATCCAATGTTACTCACAGATATCGTAGCTTTTTGTTAGTGAAAGAATTTTTGAAATCTGCCCAGTATTGTTTGAGTTATTTACATACATATACACACAAAAATAAAAGTCTTTCCTATTTATAAGATTAGTTTATCTGAACATAAGATATCCTTTATAAGCGAGAAACATCTTGCATAAGTAAAGCAAGGAACAGGTGCATCTAACTTAGCAAAATATTTCATGTCAACTGTCAGCGGAAACTTGCAGCTATTTATACTTTGACGTGTTTCGTGGTCGCTGCATAATGCCTTCCGCTGCTCGACACTTGTCTCCAGTTTCTATACTTGAATTACCGAACTACGACAGACGGAAACAAAACTTTTAGTCAAATATCTTTATGGTAACTTTGCTAAAATAATATCAATCTGTAGAAAACTTAAGGGTACTATGTTTGTTTCCCTCGTTGTTTGTTTTTTTTATTAAATTAAATCTGTAGTCTTTAAGTAAGACGGAGAATATTTTGAGTATCCGATCATCTGGTAATGAAATAAGATTTCTTTGTTGAAATAAAAAGAATTTTCTAGATACTTACTTTACCGCGAAAGAAATCGTAAAAGACGAATGTTAACGAAATGGAAAGGCTTACTATATCAAAAATCATATATCTTTTCTATATAATAGAGACGTATTCAACATATCATTTAGAGAACTATCGAAAAATATTAATTCTGTCAAATTAAATTGCTACAATTCGTCGTATACTTTAAATTTTAAGATATTGTAAATAGTTTATCTATGCAAGGCAAAGACTCAAGATGATGATTGATGCCGCCCCAGCCCTATGACGTCAGCGTTTGTGGCAACCCTAAGTTCTCAGGGCTAATGTATTCACAATAACTTCGTGCGGAAACACAAATAATTGTGTACAATTTCTACAGTATAAATTAAATTTTGTTGAATATCATTTATCGGAAAGCTTTTTAATTAGAAAGTATTGGAAAAATATACTATTACTACATTACCAGACACGTCGATTACTTTAAGAGTATAATATAGAAACATACAAAATTAAGTACTCGTATATAAAACGTATATTGAATTACACGTAACAGTAATCGAACGTTTTCACGAGGAATACTTGTGCGGGAAAATAATATTTTTTATAGTCAGCGAATTTGCCAGGGATCCGAGTTACCCGTATTTTCATGCCATACGAATTCCCGTTGCGGCCTTCCCATAAACTATTCAATATTTTTTTGGGTCGTCGAAATGTTATGAGTGATGACGGATTAAATTGAAGCGGCGACGGTTTGCGCAAACAGGGGCCCCCCGCTGCCCGCGGCGTGGGGGCGGCGGGGGCGGCGGACACCAAACATTACAACGGTTACGTTTTTCACAACTGACACAAAGCTTCGAATTTCACCTGTCTTCATTTTAATTTATCATCATTGTTATTACTTTTACGATGACATGAAAAATTGTAACAGCAATAAATGTGCACGACATTTAAATTAGTTCCTTTGACTTATAGGATTTAATCGAAAATATGACATAACAATATTATTGATGTTGTGTTCCGAAGCCATTACATTTTGCCGATCCATCAAAGTTCCACGAGGAAGTCCACCGCACATTTTAATATCAGAAATTGTTCGATATTTTAAACAAATAAACATTGTGGGTAAATGCTCTATCATTCAGTAAAGACGCATGTAGTCACAAAAACTAAATAACTTTTAAATTTATTTCCGTGATCCCTCGTCGCTATTCTATCAAGATCGAATGTCAAAGGAAAGTTTTTGTACGTGTCGACGTGTGGTATCGCATAAATGATTCTATTCGCTCCGGACATTTTCAGATCACGATACTTTAACCTAAAATATCGTCGGTAGCCGGCGACCATAGCTGAGGTGCTTATGTACAATGCCTATTTGCGACAACCGGCCAATATCAGGAATATCTCGACGGGAAGTTGTTCGAACAGAGGCGCGGTCTGCGGCCGGCGGCGTGCGGCGGCAAACATTGTGCCCATGTGATGCAATTTTGTCCATTTGAAATGAAAGCCACTCGAAACTTAACTCAGGAATTCGTTCATCGAAAATTGAGCACTAAAATATGGCGATGGCATTTCTCTTATTGTTACGTGCAATACGCTTACATTTGCGTAACACGAAATAACTTCATTTGTTCGGGAACGTAAACACTTCCCTTTTGTTTCTCAATTTGAAATTGTAGAAAATTTAAAATATATCGCTTATGAAATCCCACTACATTTTGGATCTTCAAAGGCATTGTTTAGGAATGCTGACATTAAGCAGAGTCCAGTGATTGTGTAAATCAAGTAATCGTATTGAAGAGTTTCTTTGCCAATATAAAAAATGGTGTGTTGTTGCAGTTTCGATGTGCGCGGGAAGCACCTGTCGGAGGCGCGGCACTGGTCGGCGCCGGAGGTGTTCGGGCCACGCGCACACTTCTCTACGGCGCCGCCGCCCGCTTCGCTGCTCGTGCGCGACGTGAAGCGTCGCGACGAGGGCGTCTACCGCTGCCGCATCGACTTCCGCAACACGCAGACAACCAGCTTCCGATACAACCTTACAGTCGTCGGTGAGTTTACAACCAGTTCTATCACCTTACATACCTATACTTAGTTGGACATACGGTCTGTTAATGTTATCGTGCATGTTAACATTCGCACCTAGTACTCGTACTTTGTCTTTAATTAAATATTTGTTAGCTAATTCAAAGTAATATAGAAGCCGTTGAACCCGAGACGCAAGACACTCAAGTTTTTGATTAAACTTTAAATAAGTAAATCAAATTTCGACTGTAGTTTATCGCCGCAAGTCCCAAAACTAATTAGTTGGGTCTCTTTACAGTTGTAGAATTCATACAAATGTATAATTTAACAAGTCCTCTGGGTGTCAGAGTATTGTAGTCGTTAAAGTTTCTTGCAGAATATTCAATCACCGGCCGACGCCGACTTGCGCCGAGGTGCTCCATATTCATTAACACCGCTATGAAATGTTCAATAATTTGATCAGACCCATCGTTACGTATCTACTCGTTACTCCGACGGCGACGCTAACTGTGATTAATTAAATTTTGACACGGCAGCATATCCGCTTCTTGCGCTCAAATCAATTTATCCTTCTCAATAATTCGCACGCTTTTTATTGATACACATTTATGACTTTATTTACTTACACGATCGTCATATGTTTGTTTTGTTTTAACTGTAACCAGTTTAACTTTTATAAATGTATTTTCCCGTTTAAGTCCTGATACTGGCCTGTTGTTTAATCCTCCTGGGAATTGTGCGGCCGCGTGTCAAACTTAAATACCTAAAACGATAATTATTTTAGACAGTTATTTCAGTTTGATACAACATACAGATTTTCGTTTGAATAGTACTTTTATTTATCAAATACAATAATAACATAACTACAATTAAATACAAAAAAATGGTAAACGAGTTCCTTTAAATCAGTATCTATAAATCTAACGGTTGCAATGTGTGTTAGTTAACACTTACCATAAAAAATCTATGTTTTTCGTAGAGTATTTTTCTTCACATCTATCATTTCATTTATTTGAATTGATCTCTTGCATTTCGTCATCGAGTCCCTCAGTGAACGAGATGAGGTCGTCTTCGCGCCGCTTGTCCTTTAATTAAATAACGTCGTTTTATTCTCAGCTCACTCTCACCGACGTTCCTTTATTGAAATTTGATCATTCAGCTTATGGCCGGAACATTTATTTTGCCTGTTTTATATTCCCGGTTCGTTTTCACTTCGATTCCTCCACGGATTTTGGAATTCGTTACTCGAATTCGCGCTTTACGTAACAGCCTGTCGTCCATTTATGGACGAGTGATTTCACGTTGAGTTTATTGCTGTAAATTGATAGATAAAATAAAAAAAAGCTAGAGCTCCTTTACAGAGAAAATCAAAAGAGGAACAGCATATTGCCTGTTATTTAAATCTCGCTTCTGTACTTAAGTACCAACATTCAGAACTACGTGGTTAACCAATAATTGATAATAGATGGCGCTGACAATAATTGTAGATTTATTTTTTTTTCACTTAAAAATAGTAGCATTTTTACATTAAATTGTAACATATTTTTATAAGAATATTAATTGTAGAATTATAATTGTTTAAGTTGCTTAACAAAAGCAACTTTACCAATTTTAGTAACTTGTGTGTGTGTTTATCAGCGAATAAAGAAAATTTTATTTATGGTACTAGTTTACATTTCGACTACAGCAAAAAGTTGTTTGCAGTTCCGCCGGAGAAGCCGGTGGTGGTGGACAGGTGGGGGCGCATCATCAACACCACCACGCTCGGCCCGCACGAGGAGGGTGACGACGTGCTGCTCACCTGCCGGGTGCTGGGAGGTCAGTGCTGCCCTATCACATCTATGTCTCATTACGTCAAAACACCACATACTACTATAGCGGACAACGCATTCAGTGAAAGGAGAGTTCGTTAATCAACGTACTGATACGAATAACTCGGCAATTTTTTTAACGACACATTCACTTCTTATATTTTTAAGAAAGACAACAAACAAATATTTCTTTTCATCAAACGCCGTAAAAGTAAAGTCGATATTTTTTGAATAAATATCAAAACAAGATTAGACCCTCGGGGATAGGAATTTACATAATCGAAACATTGATTGAGGCCGACGTCGTAGAGACGCCTCGCAAAAAATAATTCCCGCGTAACTGACGGGTGTCTGATGATGTACGATAAACTTGCCAACTTTCCTTTTGGAATCGCCTTTAATGAGATATTGGGAACTTTTTTGCTCGTAAGCATTTCAGGATCAAAATTAGAATTGAAACTAAAACATGTTAGCTGAACTAAAATGTGATAGAAGATGATCACATGGATTTTCAATGATTTCTTTCTGCATTATTTGGCATTTATTCCAAAGAAGGAAAGAGAACAAAAATGCAGATTGAAAGACGCTGGAAATATAACAAGGACAAGGGAGAAAAAGGAAATTAAAAAGATTGTCTTGTGGTAGAGATCATTTTGTTTGTTGTATGTGCAGGTCGTCCGGAGCCGTCTGTACGGTGGCTGGTGAACGGTGTGCTGGTGGATGAGGAGTACGAGCACAACACGGGCGACGTGATCGAGAACAGGCTGCTGTGGCCGGCCGTGCGCCGCGCCGACTACGCCGCCGTCTTTACCTGTCAGGCCGCCAACTCGCACCTCGTGCCGCCCAAAGAGCTTTCACTAGTTCTTGACATGTTCCGTGAGTTATTATTATGCATAAACGTGACGGATATACAGAATATATTTATTTCTCTCTCTTAAAAAGGAACTTTAATTAGCAACAAATAAAAATATTAACCTGGCACCGTAATTACGGATTAAAATTGTAATGTCCTTAATCATTGTACAATGCGATACTACGTAACCTAAATAACTTTGCATAGCACGGCAAGTAGACGTAACGCTGAAAAGTCTGCAATAAAAACACGACCCTCAGCATGTATTCAATTTCGAAATGATACTTCCAAAACAGCAGCAATTGAGAGCGCAACAAAGCCGGGAGCGGCTGTTTTACAGTTGGAGTATTTCAGTGGCGAAGGGTTTAATGAGACAGTGGGGTTGCAGTGCGGCCGCTGACGGTGGAGATCCGGCGGCCGCAGGCGGGCGAAGCGGGCGGGGCGGGCGAAGCGGGCGCGGGGGGCGAGCTGACGGCGGAGCGCCGCTACGAGGTGGCCTGCGAGTCCGCCGGCAGCCGCCCGCCCGCGATCCTCACCTGGCACAAGGGCAAGAGGCAGCTCAAAAGAATCACGGTCAGTGCTCATTCCAGTTTTAATTATAAAATATCGTGAACTAGGTCGCAGGATTGCCAGAGCTCCATTATAGTGGTTGTAGTGCTGTCGTCTTTTTTAATTTTAATTTTAAGGTTCTGTTTTTAGTTTTATGGAGATGGCTAGAGTGGAAATGACTATTCAAACGATAACCCTTGGAAATTAAATAGTCACATTTATTTTGTATCTAGTATTACATGGGACATAACAGCGAACAAGTTAAAAATACTACATTCTGTCATCATACAAAAGTTGAGCTCACCGATTTTCTCTCACTTCTATTCCCGCTCGTCAGAATAGTGACCAGCTACGTCCCATCTTGCTTTACTTCTCTTTGCTGTTCGCTTTTAGATATGAAGATATAAATGTGTCTGCAAATACTTTTTAACATTAGGAATTGTTAGCGTTTGTCTTTGTCTTCTAGATAAACACGACCTCTAATCTATTTTCAGAAGAAATCCCTAGATTATGTATTTGTTCAACTTAGCGTACGAACATAAAGTTAACGGTACATCTTGTCTATAAATAAATGGAATAAATATATTTGGGTAGATAATGCTACTGAATTAACCGATATTAACATTGCGAGCAGTTTGTGCAAAAGTTGGCGCGCGTTCAACTTGACATAAATTGTCTGATAATGAAATAACTTTATCTTTTTATAACACCAAGCCCAGAACTTGACCACAATCCAAATTGTTGTTAAATTTAGCTATCATTTTGTTAGGCTCTATTATTATATAAATGGTGATGTAGTTTTTTGTATAGTAATCGAAAAAGATAGAATGTAAAATTTCACAAATAAAGTTATTTGGAAAGTATAATGTCATTTCTTATAGTGTTCAATATAATGATGTCACAGAGGACAGTGCCAGAAGGGTTGAGATAGAGTAAATCTGAATGCTGCGGTAGTGCGGTGTATAAAATCGTGGTTACATAATACGCTGAATGTCCGGTACTTAGGTGTAATTAGAGAGGTGAGGTGCGCGGCTGGCGCGCTGCCAGGCGCGGGGTCTGATCGATCCCCGCAGCCGGCAGCCGGCAGCCGGCAGCCGGCAGCGGCGGCCGCGGCAACGCCAGCACGATGAAAGCGGCCAATTCCTTATCGACGTTATTAACCCCGCTCGAATCTCGTAATAGCCGTATCATTTTCCCTACTTTGCTACATATATCTTCTGGTAGCTTGCTTTAACTCAATTTCAATCGAGATAAATTCCATTTATTTTGTACTACATTGTGTGTCTTTCGAATCACGTTAATTATACCCGTTATGTTATTACTACTAAATCTATTGCTGCAAGCTACTTTAATTTCAATTCTACCTAAATTGTTAAAAATAAGGCCACATTTTGACTTGACATTCCCCGTTTTCGTCTTGAGCATTTTTAATCAAACGAGAAGACAAAAATGTTTGAAAGTTCAAAGGCGATCGTAATACTTCACATGAAGGTTTAAAAGAGTTTTCGTTGTAATATACCTCTTTAGGTTAAACCACATAAGAAATTGCATGCTCTTTTACAAGAAAATTGCCTATGAATAATAATGATCCTGCAAATGTTTATGGCTTAAGTTATATTTATCTCTACCAAAGGTTTAGAAGATGTTATAACTTCCGGTTTGTTGTAGAATCCTTGCAGGTTTTTACGATAACCGAATGTGTGAAAGTAAATTATAATTTTCTATGAAACGTATTAGAATTGTATTGTAATTTTTTAACATTACTCAATTTAATAATTTTTTACTATTACACGCAATGTACATTTTAGGCTTATAGACTTTGTAATTTTTTTTTAAATAATAGTTTACTAATTTTTAAATTATATCAATATTTTTAAGTAAAAGATGTTTATTTTTTATCCAATAGCCGGCGCTTGTTGTACAAAGTTTTGATGAACGTTTGCGCTCGTAACGAGGTAAAGAAACAAGTTGCCGGTACAAGGGCACACAACGAGACAGCGATGCTTTTAAATCATGTAAATATTAGAATACCGTCGAACTGGGAAATGTTCCCTTTCGTACTTACTCTTTTAATATTGAATTCGTTTCCTTTGTTGACGACGGAAAACTTTTTGCTCGAGGAAATATAATAACATTGTTGCTTTACCAATAATATCTTCAACAACTATGTTAGGTTACGTGTTTTTGATTCTTTCTTTTTTCTATATTCTGTTGATTTGACAGTTTGTTTGTTAGATTCGAAAATATACTATATCCCCTCTACAAGGACAAAGTAAAATCTCAAGACTAAAACACCATTTATTGACTTTTTTCTATAGAAGGATTGTCTGTTTGATCTAAAAGTTTTAACAGAATGTTTTTGTACTATTTACAATGACAAGAAAAGATAGAGTTTAAAATTTAATCAAGTACCTGCATTGGGAAACATAGCATTTATGTTATTGGCGGTGCGCCAGCGTCTCGGCGCGGGGCGGGCCCGGAACGTCGGTCGCGCAGACGACAATGTTTTTACGTTATTGTAAAAGTTAAGGTCATTTTTAAATAAGCCACACAGTGAAATTCACATCATTATTTTTACAATTTTATTAAAAATGCAATATAGTCTCACATTAGTGTTCAATTATGTTTAAAACTAAGCTATGAAATGTTCTTCGAGCCACTTTACTTTTAATTTATTTACACAATTACATTATAAAGCAATTAAGAACAAGCCGATAATGATTTTTTTTCCTAAAATACACATTATTCAAATCCAAGTAGCAACAAAATTAAATGCAAACATTTGTAAATTTAAAAGCAATCTTGAGCGATGTGAAGGCAATCCCTGAATCCGATGTCGCTCTTTGAGCAGCGGGTAAACACCCCGCACCCCGCGCCACTCGCCCCGCGCCCCCGCACGCACCCCGCGCACCCCTCGCGACCTCTTTGCTAACCCATTCCCCGGGAAGAATCGTCTACAAACATAGGTACTTACAACCAACCAACTCAAAACAACAAACAAACACAAAGGCACACTTCTGTGTAACAATTAAAGTTGCTTTTGGTCGGATATTATTAACTAACAGACAGCTCTTTGCTACGAAATCTTTCAAGTTGTAATTTATGAAAATAATACTAAATTATATTTCAATTTATTAATCATCTTTCGTTTTCAAAAAAAAATATGTTAAGTACTATCTTTTTTTAGTCTATTTAATATACATTCTAATTACGTATTTGAACCGTTTACAAACAAAATACTCATAACTATTACTAATATTTGATGGGTTGACGTCATTTCCATGTTAATCTAAATACCCATATTGATAATTCAAGATAATTACTATTAGGAAATTACAACGCTAATACTGTGATATATTAAACTAATTTTACTGATATCATTGAGTTTTAGAGTAGGTACAGTTATAATATACTTCGTACAGCATATCAAGGGTGGAGTGCAACGAACCTTAAGTAAAGATTCAATGGAGGAGCAAGAGATATGTCTGAATCATGTCAATTTGGCGCGTATCACGTTAGTTTTCTCGTCAATAAAAGTAAAGTTGTATTTTTCATACACACTCATTAAAATACAAACCAGTACAAAACGAACGAGAATTTCCCGGCTGATTTTCAAAACGCCCTTTCGTGTGTAATCGGCCAACCGGCGTATTGGAGAAACAGAGTATTGCAACAGAGAGCTTATTGCTACTACTGCGAACGTATTCCTGCGACGTAAACGAGCTCTCATTCTCCGAATCTCAGCGGATGTTCATTTTTCCTACAATAAATAAGTTTTTTTTTCTTTAATAAAAACAGCTTTATTGCCATCTAAGAATACACAGAGTTGTACAAAATAAAATATTGTATGTTTTGATGGGGACAAGACTTTCCATCAAACAAATTTTAAAAAGAGACATGAACAGAATTTCGTTTAAAATATTCTTCCTTGAGCATTGCAGAGGAGAGCGCTGGCGTCGCGTCACGCGCCACTTGTAAGTCAACGGGACAATTTTATTCGTGCACCATTTGCTGTAAACTGTGAAAGTCGTTTGGACAAAGTGCAGGCCTCGTAACACGTGCAATACAACTGAAATATTGTCTTCATTTAAAAGGAATTTTGTCGTATTCTTAAGATGGGAAACTTGTTTAGTGAGACGGTGTGAAAGTTAATGCAACACTTATAGACTATCTCGATTTAACGGATCCGGATGCAATTAGCTACCAGCGCTAAAGAAATTGACGTATTCTTCTTGAGATGAGGGCGAGACGAGGGCGATACGAGGGCACGGTATCATACAACCCTCTCGTTGCTTTTTCAGCCTCTATTCATTTTATAATAGTATTCGAGTTTTTGCACAAGTTACAGATTCGAAAGGCAGAACGGATGAATTCTTTCGTAATTAATTGCGATGGCATTCGAATTCAACCAATGATCAATGTTTTATACATAATGCAGCCGATTGCTTGTGTATTGCAGAGTTCGGGTGCAGATTAAATGTTACAAAGCTTGTGTTCGCCTGAATAACTGACACCGGTACGGAGCGGTCAGTGAATGTGCCACCGCGCCGCTCAATGCAAAGGATTTACGAGGTTATTCTAGTAACATTACGACCTCAAATAGCTCCTCCAGTACTACGGCAGCCGAATGAATGCACTCAAGTACTGGAACTTGATCTGAAAACGTTTTGAAACTTACTAGTAAACGTTCGTAAAACTTCTTAACGAATTCTCAGTACTTAGGCATTATGTCAAAATACTTTAAATACAAGAATTTACGAGTATTTCCATTAGTTAAGGTCAAGCTATTATAACAATGACTAAATAACAATCTCGAGGTGTTGGTATCTCACTAACAATTCAGTGTGACCGTAAACAAGCAAACAGCGAGTCAGTTGTGCGAGAGCCGAGACGCAGTTTGTCAGAGATAGTGATACAAACATGTCCGGCGCAATCAATACGTGCGACGATATCATCTCATCGGCCGCCTGCTCGCTTCCTCTCACACCTTATCACACATAATTAAACCTAATCAGTGTTTATTGACCCATTACTATGTTAATTATTGAATATATTATATATCCATAATTAACTTGTGTCTATTTTGGTTATAAAAATATCTTCGTGAACGATTTCGTCCTCAACCATTGGATTTTATAACTTTGATATTATCATGTATAAGAGAATTGTTATTATCTTCAGGTTTTTCAAATAAATCATACGCAATGTAGGTTTTGCTACATACTTGCTGCACGTTTGCCTTTTATATTTCCTTTTTCTAATAAACGAAGCGAACTAACAATAACTGACAGGAATAGGGAAATTCTGTCGAGAAATATTCAATACATTTTGTTCATGCTTTTACTGAACAAGATTTGCTCAACAAATTTGCATAACCAATGGAAAATTATTTTGCACCTTTAAAATGCTAATCAGCATTTATGTATAAACAGAGAGTTTTCTTTCGTCCTTGTTTTGCTAAAATGAAGCAAAAAAAGGTGTTTGCGACCTAAAATTATATTGATAACAAATATTTAACTTCTCATAGCTACATTAGGTAATTACAACATTAACATCCAGATAACATTAATATTCAAGTTACAGTTAATACGATAAATGTTATTAAAATAAAACAAATATCAGATTCAGTTGCATCGCAGTAGTTCCCTGAGAGTCGTGTCTACAAACAACATGCACATTTATCACCCTCACATGAATTCCAACATTACACCGCCCGAGGGATAAAAGCGAATTTGCCAAGTGAACCTCTGCGCTTTAATATTTCAGCCGAATAAAAGCAGAGAGAATGGACAAATAGGATACGCTTATTCCCTCCCTAACTGCATCTACACAACAATTTTGTTGTACAATTCCGTGTAACGCCTGTGAAGTGAACGCTGAGACACGTACAACCGCCATGTGCCTCGTGTCTAATGTCTAGTGCCCCGCAAGCCGCTGAGTTATCGCTCGCGCTTAGAAAGAACGGCGCTAAACTCTCAACATGTGCTCTTATATATTTTATCTCTCCTGACGTAACAAATGAACGACGGAATTGTTAAATCTGCCAATGGAATTGCAACAATATGTTTTAATTCAACCAGATGCTACTTGTCTCAATGTATGTATGTACGTATAAAGTAATCCTGTTTATTACGTACGGTTAGAACATTATGCTGCTAATACTAAATTAAACAATTAAGGGAAGTTGTAAGAACTGAACATTTAATTGTAGGTATTAACTACTCCAATTTTTTCATCAGCTTACTCGTTTATAAAATACGATGTAACTATGATAACCCTTTCTGGTTTTCCTTTATTCCCCAATTCTGTCTATTAGTTTCAATTTATTTTGTCTTCTAGTGTGTGGTGACAGTCTGTATATTACGGGACCTGTCCTCGAGCACTGATTAACTGACACGTCCCACCGCCCGGCTGCCGCTGCGCGCTGTCCGCTACCGGTGCACGACGCAGCGCTTGCACTGCTATTTACTACCTCCCCCTACCCTGCCCTGTACATCCTGCGACACAGCGCCCTCTATCGGAATGCAAGACACTCCATCGTCGTGTAAAACAATTTGAGACATTCGTACCAGCTATAGCGTAATCGAAATGAAATTGTTGCTCAAATTCACATTTAATTGTTATCTATTTGCCGCAAATAACCAATTCAAATAGATAGGATGGTTACTAGTACTTGTGTTAAAATTAGTGTTTTTTGTTTATTACGTTAAAAACCTATGTATACAGATAAGCATCCCGAATTTATTATGTGGAGTGCTCGTTCAACAATTGTTGATGGATGTAAAGTGAACACAAAGAATGTAATTAAACAAAACAGAGTAAGTAGCCGGTGAGCGGCGCGGCGCGGCGCGGCGCGGCCACAATCAACTACGATTTGCAATTCAAATGTTACGTACAACAACACACACATCCCGCGTTACGATACTGATCAATCCATTTGCCGCCGCACGGCCATTAATAAGAGCGGCTAGCTTGTGTTCTTTGCTAGTTTTACATTTTGTTACATTTCAATTTTCAGATGTTAACTTAATACAATCGTTATAGGCTTTTGTTTAAATAATTTCTCTTTGGAACATAATAACCCTTGCTTATTATTAAATTTCACGATATAAATACCAAATAAATTATTTCGTATTTCATAAAAATATTTACTCGTCTGAGAAAGGATTAAAGGAAAGAAAGAAGCCTCTCAGAAGCTAAGGGTCCGCTAGCGCCTAGCGGTTGCGGTCCGCAAAAAGTTAGTGAGCGTTGCTATACCCGAATTCTCCTCCTTATTTCATTTTTAATGGAAACCACTTTCTCTTCAGCTGAATGTTTTCCATTTACCACGTGTACGTATTTCTTCTAATTAAGATGTAACGTTTTATGTCGAATATATTTTAATTATCCACGTTGACAAGACGCGATTCGTTACAAAGTGAAATTGCTCTTTGTAGCAAAGGTTGTCTAATTAAATAACATACGTAAACATAATGATAAAAAACATTTTTGTCGTGTAAAAGACTTTGTTAAAACGTATCAGCGTTAGGATGTAATGTAATATAATGTTATGACATGGAGGTCTCATTGAACTTCTGTACGTGAAAACGGAGCACGCACTCGCAAGCACTGGTACAAAGGGGAATTTACTGTCGGTGCGTGAGCCTCGTGAGTCGTGAGCGCGCTGGTCATAGACATCGCGCATTTAACACTGCATGGTAAATAATACGCGATAACGATAACGCATAAGTATGTCGCAGTTGTATGTTTATGTCGATAGCATTGTATTGTTGAAGTTTTAAGTTCAACAATTTACTGTTTAAACTTCTGGCTAGTTGGATACTCTTGTGTTCGTGTCTATTATCGTCGGCGCGCACTCCTCGGTGATAACAATGTTTGCCTCTTTGTAAATAATCCGTGAAATATAATGGCACGGCGAAACGGTCAAGTGAACAATCCATCACAGCCGTCGATATGCGGCCGAGGAGGTTGTATTGGCGCACCCTCTCCCCTTCTGGCACCCCGCCGCCTCACCGCTTCAATCCCAGTAACCCTAACACTTTTAACGGTTACTCCGTCCACTTCATTACGTTTTCTTCAGAAGGACGAGCTTTATAACGTTTTGTAGATTATCTCGCTTTTACAAAACTCACTTTTTACCTTAAAACATTAAATTGTGATATTTTGAGAAACTTACTACGATAAAAATTATCTTGAAATCTGTGCAGTGAAATTCAAATAAGATTCCGTCGTGGAGTTGTGAATGAGCGACTGCACACGTCCGCCTGCACACTGCAACGTGTCGGCGATTTGCGGCGCGCGGAGTCGCGGGGCACTAACTTATTCCATATCTTATCGTACGTCATCTACAACTATAAATGTACCTTCCATGTATTTGTGATTCCAGACTGTACAAATAAACTTGGATTCACAGAATCTCTACGTTAAATTTCATGTCTTTCCAATGCGGTGAGCAGTGAGCTGCGGACATCATTCTGCCATTGTCTACGAACACGCCTCATGTTATATTTAAGAAGAAAAAATATCTATCGTGTTTTCCTTACCATTTTAAAAACTCATCAAATCTCAATTCATAAAATAAAAGAATTACAACCGGACTCTGTACTCTGTAGTCAGTGTACGATAAAATGCATCATAATTTTTATCTCTATTTTTCAAATAGAGCAGTGAAATAAAAATACTACAAATAGTAAAGCGCGGCTCCGGCTGATGCCCGGTAATCAATTACGTGAGAGTACTGATGGAGCAAAGTTAATAGAACCACCGCGCCCCGCACCCCGCACCCTGCACACCCCGCACACCCCGCACACGCCGCATTCATACACAAGGCACTAATGAACACATGGCATTCGGATCTATCAATAATTCCGATCAGATAGTGAAAACTGTGATTTTTTTTAAATTTCGAAGTACTTGCGATAGCTCTGACCTTCCACACACCTTTACTTACATAAACTTGCATATCGTCAACTATTTGAAGTGCCTTTTATATCCTACTTGATACATCGTCATAACTCTTATTTATTTTCCTCAATTTATTGTTTCTATTGACTTGAAACAATATTAACATTATAATGAATAGAATTCAATAAAGCTCTCCGTATCATATACACTCATAACAGCATCGTACGTAGGTTGGTACAGCGAGCGTTTACTCGCCTCACTAAACTTTCAATATCGCCTCGGCGCCAAGTTTCCTTTGTTCCAAATCGTTCAGTGCAGGTTTGTTTGTATGGTTATTGTATGATGCAGCCGCGGCCGAGTTGCAAACTAAATCATTGAATACAACTTTGTATGTATGGATTCTCTGAATACGTGCAACGAATCGCATAGAATTGAACAGCGGAGACAACTTTGATTTTGACAATTATTTCAACATGAGGAACTTGCACTAGCTATTCTAAAATTACTTTTACGGTCGTTCTCTGATAGGTGAAAGGCGGTATTATGGTAAAGCTGTTGTATTCACTAGAGCTGACAAATTATTGTGTCTTGTGTGCAGGAGGAGCAGCGCGACAACCTTACGGTGAGCGTGATGAGCTTCGTGCCGACGCTGGACGACGACGGCAAGCTGCTAGTCTGCCGCGCTCAGAACCCCAATGTCTCTGCGCTCTTCCTCGAGACGTCCTGGCTAATCAGCGTCGTATGTCAGTACACGCACACCTTATCGCCAGTATGTTTTATAATCTATGTTGTCATGCACTATCAATGTTCGTTGTGACGCAGACCCGCCGGTGGTGAGGCTGCGGCTGGGCAGCTCGCTGGCGGCGGGAGACATCAAAGAAGGCGACGACGTGTACTTCGAGTGCCACGTGCGCGCCAACCCACCAGCGCGCAAGCTCTCCTGGCTGCACGACGTAAGTACCTCACCTCTCAACTCCGTCCTTCGCGTCGCACACACTCCACGCCACTAACATCAACATCATTAGCACCTACTTAGGACGTTAGTCGTCACCCTCTACCACTTTCCCAAATTTGAAGTGACTCAGAGACGCACTAAAATCTTCCCCTCATCATAATAACCTCCCCAAACTTGAAGATCCCTTGCAGCAAAGTATGTTTTCGTGAGTAATTAAAATATCTCAATCCATGTTTTCATGTTTATGCAGAAATTATATTCTTTATTGATGTACTTAATTTATGGTGTACACTTTAAATTTATGAATGTGATCAGCATAGAGTTACAAAACACCAGTTAAATAGGGGGATAAGTAAATTAAATAAGGATATTGGTCCTCGACGACAAAAGGTAATGTGACAAGGGAGATAAAAGAGACGCAATAAATACTCTGCAAATACTCGTACTTATTATAATTATCCAGGTATTTTTTGCGCTCATTTCGGGACAAGGGCGGAGTTGTAGGGGGTGCAATTAGCCGCCCTCTGTCGTTGCCAACGCACACCACTCGTTATATACTTTAATGACTTACAACATTATTTTCTTTAATTGGCAAAGATTAAAATGATCACATATTACGTTTCTAAATTCTCGTTTATTTCAATGTTGGTAAATTCTTTTGAAGTAATTGTGTTGCCCATTACCGTGACGTCTAATGTTTATTAGAATAAATGAACCCAAACAACAAGCGATTAAAACTCTTCTATTTAAATTGCCACCGCAAAAGAGACATCAAATAGAGCGTTCAATTCATACAATTAAGGTTACCGTATCACTTTTACACCAAAGTTAGAAAGATTTAAATATCTTGTAAAATTCTAACCTTATAATGTTCTAACGGGATAAAACGTCTTATAAAATTGATGTCGCAGATGTCGAGTGAATACTGAAGATTGTGAAAATGAAAAGAAATGCAAATTGTATTAGGTGGCCTTGTTACCGCCCCTGCCCCCGCCCCTGCCCCTGCCCCCGCGCTCCAATCCAAAGGATTTAGGGTTACTGTTGGATTTAAATAAGAAATGTCTTTATATATTTCTTCACAACCCCAACTTGGCCCCAAATTAAAATTGATGCGAAAAGTGGCAAGATTTTTAACGAGCATTATTCTATCTTATTTTCAAGTAAATTTAAAAATAACGGTATTTTAATGATTGTAACACATTGCCATTTCTAACACTCATTTTAGTAAGTCAAGTTTGTAATGCTTGATAGAGATGTAAGGAAGAATAATAAACAACGTTACCTACACTTGTGCCTAACAAGTAACATAACTAATTTAGAAATTATATCAGCAGTACCATCTTTGTCAAGAGCGAAATAATGAAATAAATAGCATACAATAGAGGAAGGCAGCTTACGTATAGGTAAGCTGGAGTCTGCAGACGAGGCTATCTATGAGCGGCTAACAAAGCGGCCGGCAGGAACACTGGAGTGCGACATGTCGAGCGATGTTCAATTTCGTGGTCAATTGTAAATGATTTATCCGAGAAAGCACTTTGCAAGACCAGTGGCGGAGCACATAGCTCACAATAAGGTTACGTGATTCAGTTTTGATTTTATACCTTCCATAATATTGAATATGCAATTGACGTTGTTAGTGTGGTATTACATCTTTTTTTTTTGTTTATGGCATACTTAATATAGTTACTTATGTATTTTGTATACTACTGTCCACCTTTTCACACTTACTTTAGTCTGTGATGTGAAGAAACTTAGAAGATTAGTTGACCGACGTTAAAAATGTTCTCAGAATTCGGCTTAAAAATTTTAGGCAACACTATTCCGTATAATAATTTAAAAGCGAAATGAGAAAAGTTGTCATTTAAAACTTCAGTTATAATGGCAGCACACAGCGTGTAATATAAAATTCTAGAAACAGAAAAGACTGGAGTGTTACAGTAATCCTTTGTGCGCGGCGGGGCAGGGCGGGGCAGGGAGGGGCGAGGCGGGCGCGGACAATACATATTTTAGCCACCTTCTTTCCTACTTGTCGTCCTCCTGCATGAAAAATAGATTACACAGTCGCAGTTGCAGTCGTAGTGCTATCAGGTGCGAGCTGTCTCTTGCTAGACACATGTCCCAGTGCCTTGTTCATTTCTTAATCTTTCTACATTTATTTTAGATGCATAAAATTGGCTATGTACAGTCAATATCAGATTTATTTCAATAGGAATATAAAACATAATATGTATAGATTTGAAATGTAGTGGTGGTATAGTTTTATTTTACAATATATTTTGAAATGATGTAATTATGGAAACGGTAAGTAATTTGTAAGCTCATACACGCTTGCACTACTATTGGACGATGTTACTTTATAAATAAAACTTGGTGTACATTTGAGTTAAAAAATTAGAAAATGAAACGATTTAAAGCATCGTAATAAAGAAGCCATGAGATTTCCTTAAATCTTAATTAAAATTTCATTATGCCAACAAGAACACGTCGCGTCGTCGTCGGGTCGAAGTGAAATTCCAACGTTGATGTGTTAAGCGTGGGCGATAATAGGCCCGCAAACAAAGCGGAGCGGAACAACTTGTCGCAAACTCTTTGTGCCGCCTCTCCTCGCCTCGCTCGCGCACTGATTACCAAAACATTTACATTCTTTTGTTCGCCTCGCCTCGCCTCGCCTCGCCGCGGCTGCAAGCACACCAGCGACTGTTGTTGCATTATTCCCGACCTGTAATCGTTCATGTCATGTCGTGTTCTGATAATCATCGTTAGATATTCTAGACATGCAAGAAGCAACAATCCTTTAATTAAATGTAACTAAACTATGTTTGTAGATAGTTAATAGCCATCCTGTCAAGCATTTTTCCTGTCAATAAACCTTTGCATCTTTTATTCAAACCGGTAGCTCATTAAAATCGATTTCTCTTTATAAATATTTCTCTACACTTGGTTTGGTTTCATTCAACTCAGCATCGAACTCAACTTGAACAAAACTATGAGTTGTAACTAAAACCACCAACACTACATATACATATATTGAAAATCATAGCGAAATTGGACGTTAGTTTCTAGCTTTGTGTTAGAAACGGATACACAGACAATTGGAGTATTTTTGATATTTCAGTTTCGATACTGCTGACGAAAACAACAGCCGTCTAACGAATGTACAGTTTTTTAGGAACTAATTCTAAAGCTAGATTTTTGGTAAAAAAAAAAGTATTCAAATAATGAATAGAATAGTCTTTGATAGATCTGTTAGAATATTTTTTTATATTTTTAACTGAGTTATTCCAAACTGTTGATTGTACAAAATGAAACTAATGATTTCGTTTGAACGCAGTTACCTTTGTCAGTAATATGATATGATGACGTCACCGCGCCGCTGGTGCCGCCCCCTCAGCACACAACGTGATGTCTGCCAGGTGCAGCGCAGAGATAGAACTTGTTGCGGTTTCAATGGACGTTAGAATTTGTTGCACTTGACAACATTTAATACCTTTAATGTATGCTCGCCGCGACTGGCGCTTGCGGTGCACAATTCTCTAACGTATTTAATTCACTTATAAGATTGACACTAATTGAAGAAAAAGTGATTTTTTTTATAAGACAACATTACAACATACTCGCATAATGAAATTAGACCTTTTCAACAAAAGTTTTTCTTAAGCAAAGTGAAGTAACATTGTGAGGATGTTAAGGCTCTGCTGCGACCAGAGCAACTCAGATATCCCTCAGGCACTATTTCCTGCCTCCCTCCGTCGCCGCCACCGCCCTGCCTCGCCCCCGGCATCCTATCTCTGGACAACTTGCAACCACTCCAACAATTAATAATCCTCTTACAGCCGTATAGGAAATACCGTCCTTCAGTGCACAATAGCATCCTTTGTCAGAACACTAAACTATATTTGAAATATCCGAACTGTACGTACGTACGCCTAGTTTATTATGTTGAATCAGATCTTATTATGTGATAGCCATATTTGAATGTCCTTACGTTGTGATCACTATGATTGACTCGTTTAAAAATGCTTCTATTAACTTACAATCAGTAGTAATTGTTTACGCTGTGTTTGTTGTAGGAGCGGCAGCTGGTGCACAACGCATCAGCGCGCGTGTTCCACAGCAACCAGAGCCTGGTGCTGCAGAAGGTGACGCGGCACAGCAGCGGCCGCTACGCCTGCTCCGCGCTTAACGCCGAGGGCGAGACTGTCTCCAACGAGCTGCACTTCAGGGTCAAGTGTAAGTTCCGCAGAAGCCACCGCCCATCGCATCAGCTACTGACACTCGCCACATACACTTGTCTCGTGATCACGTGACATTCACCACAACATCCGAATGGCCTAGGACTTATTTCTTTTCTTATTGCGTTCTAAAAAAGTTTATGAATGTTTTTCATACTAGAAACAATTGACAAACAGTTTAGTCTCAGTTATTCCAGCTGATATGAAGTAGGTAAAGATGATGTAAATAGGGCTGCACAATGTATTATGTTGTTAGTCTTTTAATCACATTATCGTTGGAATTGTACTCACACAGATACTTCTTTAATAAAAAAAATTAATTAGAAAACTTGTAAAGAAGGAATGTCGCTCTTTTTATACTAATTGGAACATTGTAGTATGTTAAACGAAATGTACAATGTTTCGCTAGAATATTTTTTTAATAATAATAAGTTTAAAAACGTATGTGTTTTGTGCGAGGGCCGCGATACGTGTGCGCCCCCCACCGGCGCCGCCGCCGCCGCCGCGCTGCTCGTACATGTATGTCGTTATCTACGTAACAAGACCTCCTTTGACTTATTTTTATTTTGAAACATTACAAAAGCAACCAGAACAGTGTCGGATAAAAGTTATATAACTCAACATGTTCAAAGAAATAATTAAAAGAAAAAACATACAACAAATACTATAAACAGAACTAGTACGTTGTTTTATGTTCTAAAATGAAATGCTGCTAATTTTATGTTTTACTTTCATACTTGGAGCTTAAATGAAATAATGCATGGAGTTAATCCAACATTAGCAGAGACGCAGCGCGGGCGACGGCGGTGCCACCTCACATTCGATCTTATTGCCAACCGCACTCCTCTACATAACACTGAAAAAATCACCTCGTAAACATTTTATGCTGCAAAGTTACCGAATTTTTCTCCTCGAATTTAGAGTGTCGTACATTCCATCTACTAATGGTTAGTGGCACTTGTTTGCGGTGGAAGTTAACATACGGGTTTTTATATTTATACCGTCGTTAACATTCTGTACACATTCTCTCACAAAGCGAAAGACCTTGCTAAAGTCGTTAACTCAAAATACCGAAATTGAGTCCTTATAAAAAACTAAAGCACCAGGAGAATTGATTTCATACGTGTTTACAAAAAGAAACTGAACCGTTATTAGTAACAAATTTAAGTTTAAATGAAAACATTCACAATTTGAACAATTTATTATCATCAAAATACAATTATTTTACTTTTTAAATTAAACAACAAAGTAAAAGTGCAAACACGTTTAAAATTTTGTTCAGGAATATTGAGTCATTAAACAATGAAATCGCGGGGCGTCACAATGGCCTAATTTAAAAAGATAATTTTTTCCGCCTTAAATTAACGAACAAAAGAGGACTAAACAATGGCCTGAGAGGACTCGCCTGCGAAGATTGCCGGAGTTTAATACAGCGCAGCCTCGCGCCGGAGCTCGAATACATTTGCATGAATTGAACGAGACTTTTGAAGTACGAGCACAGGAATAATCGATACCCAGGTGAATGTTGTGTTTTGTGGACGACGAAACGCGAGCAGTAAAAGCCTGCCATGATGTTGGATCATCATCTGCTGCACAAACAAACATTTGCAGCAAACAGAAGAGCATTTGCGTGGAAAAAATATGGAATCTTATAAGATTGTTGAAATTAAAATTGAAACATGGTTTACAGTTTCTTTAGTCAATAAATCTTTAAGTTTATAAATAAACTATCATACCAAAATAACCAGCTGTCTATATGTCAAAAAGAAAATCGCGTTTATTTACTTTGTCGTTAATATAAAAAGCTCGGGTTGATCTAAAGTAAAATACAATAACGCGCTCCGGTTATTTTACAAACGTAACGCGAATCGAGCTCTCATAAAAAATGCTGTCAATGGCTATCAAGCCGCCAACAATATATCACAAGCAATTTTTGTGTTCAAACTTTTGGGCTCTGGGCGAAGCTACGGCCGCTACGGGGCGGCTACGAGGCGGATACGAGGGGCTACGAGCAGCGCGCACGTGACATGTTTCAGCAAGCAGACAATCAGCACAAGCTCGCAGCTCGCAGCTCGCAGCTCGCAGCTCGGCAATGAGCCGATATCGTGTGACATGGACATATCGTCCTAACCCTCCTCCCCTCCCCTCCTCCCGCAACCCGCAATACACACCTAAATACCGAAATTCATTTCGTTCAAAACACGCGGCAATATTATTCAATAATATCATAATCAATTTATACACCAACCTACCGTTAAGAAAAAGAATTTGTTTTATGAAATGTTATCGCAACGTTGCAAACTTTATGGTGGTGATTTGGAGGTTCTCAAACTCAACATCAACGTGGTATAGTATCGAATAGAATATAACATACCTTATACAACTTAAAAATATGTTAATTGAAATTACACTCTGCTACAGCTTACATCTTACATTACGGTAAGTCATATAAAAACAGTAAAGTTATGTAAAAGACATATTTCAGCAGTCACCGAAATTCAAATTTCCCGATCCACTCCAGAATATTGTGACTGGAATATTTTTGCTACGTGATGTTTGAATAACCTAGATCTTGTTTTTAATGCAGAGGCAAAAATACTCGACGTGTACTTCTGCGTTACAAAAACACGAACATTTTTATGTTCTCAGTCCTTACCATATTTTTGTGTCACAAATTTAACAAACAAACAAGTTTGCGATGCGGCATCAGAATCTCACCACACTGCAAGCTCCTTTATTGCCTTTAAGAATCATTTTACGTTGCTTCTGGAAACCGATAGCTTTATTGGTATAGCCTATGCGCTGAGTCTGCTCCACAAAGGCGTTAAACGTTTACAAAGTGGATCTAGATTGCATGTTAGTTGCCAATACAAGGAAGCGATACTTTCGTAAAAGCAAACCTATTACAATTTTAAACGTTCACTGGATATACACAGTTCTATTTGGAACATCGCTAGTTTTGATTCTAATTCCTAAATTCTATAAACGTTTTATTCTCATTAATGTTTAATTAGTTCTTTCTGTATCTGTGTGTGTGCAGACGCTCCGTCGTGCCGCAGCGGTGGCGTGGCGGTAGTGGGCGCAGCTCGCGGCGAGTCCGTGGTGATCGTATGCGAGGTGGACGCCGACCCGCCCGCAGCCGTCTTCAAGTGGAAGTTCAACAACTCCGGGGAGACGCTGGACGTCGCCGCCGACAGATACACATCCAACGGGAGCGCTTCCAGCCTCAAGTAAGTATCACCCTATTGACCTAGTTAACTTGTAAACGTGTTTGCTGAGATTAAATTGTACCCGTATTTGTATTAATTTGCAAAACAGAGGTACCACGATATCACAGAAGTCTAATGGATTAAAGGATATGGTTCCAATTCACAATACACAGTTCATTCTCCTTTTCAACTGGATCCTATTTTCTAGAGCAATTTGAAATGGAGACGTAATTTTATTTCGTCAATTACGTGTGCTTCGATCCTGCCAGAATAAAAGTCCGCAATCGAGGCATCCGCAATTTGAAACGTGTACAAAGCTCGTACATCGAGGACGAGGCGACCTTGTGCTCGCGGCTTCGTACAGCAGCGCTCCTTTGAATTTAGGATTTGGAATGTGTATAGAGTTGTAACGAGTTTTGCGGAGATGGGGAACATTATGTAATAATGCTTCCTCTTACAATGCGATCCTTTCAAATTTGTTACTACTGAACACACAATAAGGAGCTTTCCTTGTACCGCTATAATCTTAAATTCTGCTTCCTTAAAACACTCGTTTTAACGTTAACTTGCTTATTTGTTGAACATGTAATGATGTGCTTAATGGCGTAAAATTATTATTTTTTAATTAGATGGGCATGATTAATTTCGCCATAGCAAGTGTGCTAAACAGAACAAAACCAGGAGTCGACAAAATAAAATAAAATATTAACTTGTATCAATAGGTATGCCCGTGTTTTGGAAAACGCAAATTTGAGCTATGTTAAAAAAGCAATATTTCTCCGCTGAATAGGAAATGCAGAATTTAAAATTGGTCCGTATTTTGTAGTCGAGTGCCATCCGCTTCTGGGTATTTGATGTTTATATTTGTACGAGATTGTACGTGCGGGTTATTGCGAGACGCGCGGCGGGTGGCGCTCCTTGACTCGGAAATACTAAATATACTCGAACATACAACCGCAGGACTATACTTACTCTTAAATAAATATAGTTAGAGTAACTATATATTTTAAATACAATGTTTATAAAACAAGGTACACACCGGTAGCGGACCTGGACTACGGCACGCTGTCTTGTTCCGCATCGAATGAGGTCGGCAGTCAGGTCGCGCCCTGCGTCTTTCAAATGGTGGCTGCAGGTGAGATGCTCCGCCATTCAGTCTACAAGCTGCACACACACGTCACTAGATGTTTACTTGAGAGCGTTGTGTGCTGTGTGCGGTGCAGGCAAGCCGCACGCGCCTCGCAACTGCTCGCTGTGGAACCAGACGGCGGACTCTGTGGAGGTATCGTGCGCGCCGGGCTTCGACGGCGGCTTGCCGCAGCGCTTTCTGCTCGAGCTCTACTCCGGCGACGACACCGTGCCCAGGTACACACAACACACACCTTACTCACTCACGCTTCACCCGAGTCAATTTACATTAAAGTTGTCTGTGTTTTATTTATGCAAAAATAAATTCCATAAGAAAAATTTCCATGAAAATGCTGTTTCCATTTTGTCTTAAATTATTTGCGTCGAAACAACATGCAAAGAAGATTAGTAATCTCAAAAGAGCAGCTTAATTTAAAAATAATTCCCCGCTCGAATCGCAGAGCTCACAAATTGGTCCGCGCGAAGGAAACTTGCAAAATAAACGTGAGTTACGAGTCTCGTCGGAGGTGTTGGGATGAAAAAAGGGTTCCATCTAATATTAAACGTTATAACGGCAGGGGTCTGCCGGCGGGGGGTCGGCGGGGGGTGCGCGGAGGTAACGGGGGGCGGGGGCGAGGGATGAATACGGCGATGACGGTGGTACATCAACGGACAATGGCTCCTAACGAGAATTTAGATGTGTTCAGGAATTTCGACCTTCATTCTTGTGAAGAATAAAAATGGCAAAAGTTTTATTTTGTCCTTCGACGCGGGCACCGTACAAATTTGGCAACGAAAGAAATTCCGTCGTGTAATTTTGATTAACGACGATCCTTTGTGGAGAATTTGTCCTTCATAATGATCCCGGCCGGCGCCGCGCCGCGCGCTCAACACATCGCCGATTGTTATTCAACTATTACTCTGGTTGTACTTTTCTACCAAACAGTACATAAAGCTAGAAATTACTGATGCCGCCATTGGAAATAGTATATACTTTCATACATTTAAGCACTTTACTGGTCAACTCTATTGAACTAGCTTTAGTTATTTTTCTAAACTTAAGTTTCAAGATAAGTATTGCAGTAATTACGCAGCGCCACTGAGATAAAGTTGTTGCACCAGCTGCCGCGGGGGTTGCGGGGAGCGCGGGGAGGTGGGGGGCTCATCTCGCTACAACACATGTCTTGTACCATTTATTTTACCTTACACTCTAACGAAAATGTTTCTTTGAGATTTTTCGTGACTTAACTCAAAAAAATGTAAATCACCAGACGTTATCTTCTTGTCTTACTAATATTATAAATATAAAAGTGTAGATAGATAGATGGTTGAATGTTTGTTAGAAGGTATTTCCGGAACGGCTCAAGTGATCTCGATTAAATTTGAGACAGATGTGAAAGAATTGTGGAAGGATACATAGGGAATGTTGTGGTGCAGAGTGAATCTGTCGTCGTGGGAGCCGGTGTGGTCTGTGCGCGGGCTGGAGTGGGACGTGCGCTTCAGGCTGGCCGCCGTCGCCGTCAACGCCAAGGGCCGCTCGCCGCCCGCGCTTCTCGACGACATACTCTTCAGGGACCCGGAGAAACGTACAGGTAACTTACATGGTTAACATTTTAGTGCGACGTACTTATTAGCGACATGATTTGAGTGGTGTTATATGCCAAGCGATACACTTAAAAAAGTAAAAAAAACGATAGCGATAATCATTTGTTTAAAAGGTTAGAACTTTGTTTCAAATATTTTAATGTTTAGATAGCCAATATAAAATTATTCGTGAACTATCATATCGTTGATATTAGCGGGCGTCATACGTTAGCCAACGTCACCATATCCGCGCCGACAGTGATTTATTGTTTATTTTAGTGAATTTGATGTGCATAAAGTAGCATCTGTGTTTTTTTTTATTTGCAAAACTTCCTGTATTGTAGAAGTATTCTGGATAAATAGCTGTTGACAACCATTTCGAGGTTTAAGAGATATGAAAAGCAACTTATTTATGCAATATATTTTCGTTATAGTTTGAAAATAATTTCAATAAAATATACAATGTGAAGGCGGGAGCGGCGCGCGGCTCTCGCGGACGTTTGTGTCCTGTATTTGCAACGATTCAATGATTTCTTTGAGCGAGCCGCGCCGCCCGCCGCCCGCCGGCCTGTGCCAGCTCTTATCCTAAGCACGATGCTTATTTCTGCTCATATATTTTTCTTCCGATGCTTAAAATATTATGACAAGGATTATATGACGTTTATTGAGAACATATTATTAGAATTGATTTTTATCAAAGCAACCGGTTTCGGTTTTTAATTTATTTCCATCAATTCTGAAAACGTATAAAGCGAATGCTGATTTACAAAAAATAAGTAAAACGAGTAAAGTAGAAAAAGGAATCCTTTAATTTTCTTATGACTTTAATACAAAATCCATTTAGAGCAATATAATGAAAGATAAAAGGCTCGCGCCGCAAGTCGAGTGTCAAATATATTATGAAGGTCGCTCGCTACAAATCAAATAAACGGATCGTTTTATGATGCGGGTTACGTTCCTACATTTATATAAAAATTTCAATAATGTCCCTTGACATCTCTCACCCTGCAAACCGCGCCGCGCCCCGCGCCCCGCGCCCGCACAACTGGCTACTGCGCTCACACTCGAGTACTTGTCTAAATATATGTTAGGATGTCTCTCATGTCTCATAATTCCTGGCTACGTATCGTCCAATAAACTCACTTACAACGATGGTTCATTTTAGGCGTTTAAAAATTAGTTATGTATTTTTAATTAAGTTTTTATGACACATGAATGTATCGAAATATATTCAATGTTAAATAAAAAGTATGTGTCAAGTTTTTTGGCGTTTTATTTTTTACATAAATTTGTTTACTACAAAATGTTTTAATATAATATACTTCACACAAGCTTCGAAAATTTTATCATATACATTTAGTATGTGATGCTCTCAAACATAATATCGTAATGAAATTTGTTGCCGATACTAAAATTAATAAAATGTGTGTGAAGCCGGGCCCGGGCTGCGGGAACTAGGCCGACGGTCAAAGGCTGGTGTAATTAAATTATCGGCTGACACCAAATTGATGGGAAGATTCGTGAAGACGACGAGCCATGCTGTACTGATTCTTGCTACACAATAAGAAAAGTATATAACCATATGATGTATCGGCAGCGTCTGAGAGTGGGTTGGGCGCGGGTGCGGCGGGCGCGGCGAGCGCGGGCGCAGCGGGCGCGGGCGCGGCGCTGGCGCTGCTGGCGTGTGCGTGCCGCGCCGCGCGCCGCCGTCGCGCGCCGCTCGCCAAGCACACGCCGCCCAAAGCGCACCCCGCGCACGCCGCGCACCCCGCACACAGCCCGCACGGCCCGCACGTAGCCCGCGCCCACAAGCACAGCGACCACGACGACGCCGAGCCAGACCTAATACCAAATAATTACTGTAAGTTTTTATGCTTTTTGATTGTCATTGTCACTTTTCACTATTAGTCCATTCATTTCAAGCGAAAAATGGTTTTCCCTTATTTAGTAACTTCTAATTTTTTAAAATAAATTCAGTAAGTAATTGAACTTTACTAGTGGTCAAACTATACTGACGAGAATGTAAACATTATGTAAAGAATTTACTCATGTAATTATTTATTACGGTTTAAAATTCAAAGCGAACAGTCGGTCTGTTGCATAAATGTGATTCGGGCGTCATAATTATCATATGATGTTTGCGGCGCGCTTTGTGTCGATGAAATATCACCCAAACTAAATGCTAATGTGTTTTCAAATGTGAATAAAATTAAAATGAAATCGGCAATAACACGAGCGGCGGCTGGCGGCGGCTGGCGGCGCGCCGGCGGCGATCGAAAACAGATTAACTGCAAATTGCAAATATCGTGTAGAAAGCGAAGGATGTGTTAAATGCAGCGATTGCGAGGGTAAACGTTTCGCGCGTTACCGAGTCAGTTTTTGCTGTAATAGTTTACATTCGCTGCATTACGAGCGCTATCTTCATTGCCCTTTAAATATATTTGCCGGATAACGTTCCCCAATCGGCCCCTGATTGCATTAACGACCTCGTTCTCACAACACAGTCATTTTAACTGGCTCATTCAGTGCGCAGTTACATCTGTACTGTTTTTTGGTTAAATCTGAACATTGTACTCTGCATTGTTACAGCCCACTTCATTCCCTACGCGTACTATTTCAATTGAATTAATCGGTTCTCAAAAAAAATTGCTTGCCGTTAATGTCGATTCATAAATAAAACAAAATATGCAGTGCCATATAATTCTTATAAGTAAAAATATGGGAATTATATAAATTGGAATTCAAAATATTGTCCGTTCCGAGAATACGTAATTGCGTACTCACATTAAAATGAAATATTCGTAACATTTAATGACACGCGTCTCGTTGCCTTATATCACATTTGGTTCGTGGAATACAAAATCTGTTCCTCGTTTTTAATTGCAATACCTAATTAGTCGTGTGGAGTCTGGTTTATATGTGGTTTACTATTACAGAGAGTTTGAATTCCTAAAATCATTAAGACAAAACAACTCTAATTGTATTTATTCTAAAATTCTAAATTATTGTGCATTTTATTGTTAACCTACTTAATCTTCGTAGCTCCGTAGAATGCACGCGCTACGATCAGGCGCTACGTAAATCCGTCGGTAGTTCCGTAGCCAAACTGGTATTAGAGAATCTATCCGCTGTTGTGTTAAATCAAGTTTAAGTATCAAGGAACGAGCGTAAGCGGTACTTAGTGAAGGGTAACTGCCGTGCGGAAGTTTACTGCCTGGATAAGCACGACTACCCTCAGTTTCCCGGCAAGTGTCGGTGCATCCCGGCGACTCCCCGCCGCTAGACGACTGCTCGTTGCTCTCTTTGCCTAACGGGTGATTAGCTTTGACTCTATCAGACAGTTGGCTGCACAGATTAGCATTTGAATAAACTACTATAAAATTTATATACTTCTTTCTGAGTTCTTTTTAGTAATACAAATGAGTCGCTATGTCTAAATTAGACACAATCCTGTAGGTAGTGCCTTTTTTGATCCACATTTTAAAAATGCATTCAATTGCACGTTACGAGTATAATAACCAGTACACCGTTGTGTACAGCTAAATACAAGTTCCTGAACAGTGCAGGCGGGGTCGATGGCGCGCGGACTGCACGGCAGTGCCGGCAGCGGCAGTGCTATATAATTTTTAACCGAGATTCAATTCCCGACAATCAGGCTATTAAGTTAATAGAAACGTCGCAGTGGCGTGCGTCACGCGAGCGGCGGGCGGAGGCGGCGGCGGCGGCGGGCGCTCGCTCCTAGTCGACTTTCTATTTCAAATCTTCTGACAGTTTTCGAAATTCTCTGTGCGCTTTCTGACAGTTATGTCAAGTGACGTGTGGAAAAGAACGTTACAGTTGGTGACGGCGTTTGTTCACAGTTTTAATTATGTCCCTTTATATAACTTTGATTTAATATAACGTTAACAACGCGCAAGCGAGTATTTGAAAATATCGATTCAGTAAAATAAACAACTTAAAATCAGCGTGGATTTCTGACCACGGTGCCGTGGTGACTCGGAGCACAGACTTACAGTCCAACTATACTTAAATAATTACTGAACATTATTACATTTTGAAATGACAATAAGATATATATTAAGATATTTTTTCTTTACTTTAATCTCAGCTATTTTAATAACTAATAACTTATAGCTTAAAAATGTCGATATTACTACATGTAGGACCATATAGCGAAACTAACGAATACAATCTTACTTCATGTGTTTGTAAATAAATAAGTGGCAGGTCCGCGAGGTGCGCACCGCCGCTGAGCCGGTATTCATTTGATGTGAGCTATTACCTGCGAATAGTGCTTGTAGGGCTCCGGCGGAGCACGCTTATTGAACATAACCGCCTTGTCTATGGCATACATTTGTTACATGAATTCTTATTACCAATTGCCGCAACATTTGGAACATAATAAGATTTGTTTGATACAAGCAATCTACTTTTGATTATACTATTACTTTCTTCTCACAAATATTTCAGTTGGATGTTTTCTTTGTGAATATTAGATATAATACGTTGTCGGACAAAATTTAAAAAGCAAGGAAAATAGAAATATTTCTACGTTCTTAATAGTTATGTTTATTAATGCATACACTTTTATTTTAAATTAAATTTGTTAATACGAGTATAGAGTGTGAGAGAAATGTCCCGAGCGCCGGCTACCGAGAGATCCTCGCAAAGGCGATTTCGTTAAAGACGTCTCACAGATGTTCCGCTTAACGTCGAGATTTTCACACGAATAGAAACGCTTCCCAAAAGTACTTAAGCTGTTAAGGCTCCGTCGCGCCGCCGCTAGGATTAAGATTACAATTTTCTTTAGCTTCCTGCTAACAGATGGAGTCTCCTACGCCTTTAGTACAACAGACAATACAATTTCAAATCGATTTAATCAGTACTCACCGTTTTGTTATTGACATATCACTGATTTGATCAAGCATATCTCGTGACTTGTACTTATTACAAAATAAGTAGCCATTAAGTATTGCGTCACCGCCGGTGTCGGGATAACGGTGGTTGATCGCGACATGCAAGATAAGAGTGCCCGCTCTCGCTGTGCAGCTCATCTAATGTCGCATCAGCCGACTCGCCACTCGACTTGCATTGGCTTCCTCCTTCCTCGCTAATCATATTGATCTCTCTCAACTAATGTAATATATAAACTTAAATTGCGACTAGTTTTGTATTCCCTTTAACGTTTTCTCTGCACATTTACACTATTTTATGCACTAAAATGGTTTTAACATACGATATTACCCGCTAAAGCTTGTAAACGTCTACCAACATTTTTTACAAACAAAAACGTTTAAGTGACAAATTATCTAAACGACAGTATCTTGCAGTCTTCGCGGTGACACATTTTTGGACAAGAACCAAGTGTATAATAGAGGCGACAACTCTACAACTGAACTGCTCGTTCAATTTATCTTTTATAGAACAAACAACTTACTTTATTCTAAACATCATTTTAATTATCATGTCGATACAATGCGGATTTATTCAATAATTTATCGGAATTACATTCCACAAACATAAAGCAATCCCATTTGTTTGTGACGTCAAACTGACAGAACCTTTGTTTTGTAATATAATTATGTTTATCATAATGTAAGAGAACAAACAAAGGTTGCGGGAGCCCGGTGCTGTATCACATCGTGAGATCGCCCACCCTGAACAAATTGAGGTCCGCCGACAAATGTACCGACCACGCTTCTCTTTTTATTATTATAATAATTTGACTAGGTTTTTTATTTTGATGTAACAGATTGTAAAAACTAATTTATACAAATTACTCTGTTGATTGTTATGTTACTGGAATATTAAAGTAACTCGCCTATTAGTGAAAATAAATTAAATATTTGTATACTATTTCAACCTATGAGGTTGTAATAAATAGAAATGTTCATGATGAAATAATAAGTGGTGTAGAGAGAGACTGGCGAGCGGCGGCCGCTCCGAGTGGACTGCATCTCCGCAATACAACTCGACTCCACTCAAATACAACTCGTTTCAAGAAATTATTTTTAAATCTGAAACATTTCTTAGGATTTGAAACGTTGAATTTAGATGCAATTCATATTTTTGCTTTAGATCAGTTTGCCTGATAACCTCTAGACAACAAACTTATTTTATACCTTCTTGTTTATCTACCATTACTGTAAACAAACCCAAATTTCAAGAAAACACATTTACAAAACATTGTTTGTTTAAAAAAACTTTTACCTTTCCTCCATTAAAACTCTTTGAAGATATTAAAATGAACTTTCTTAAACAAGTAGTTTTGACGTTGCAAGAAAATGTTACCAGTATTTAAGATGAAAACTCCCGAGCCTGCTCCAAAAGATTAAGATTGTAGTTGAAAATAATTTCGCATAAAGATGTCAGCACTTTACTGCCGACAATTTGTAACGTCAAGTTATGTCTCTATTTAGCGTTAAAAAAACAACTGTTAACTGAAGAATTAAAAGGTCTTCAGAAAAGTTCTACTTTTATGAGTTACTAAAGCAATGAGATATTTTTTCGAGTCGGGAATCGGAATCTATAATCTACTAAAACATTTTTAACATGTATTTACTCGGCGTTTCCAGTTCACAACTTTAAATCAAATTTGTAGAATGAAAAAATGTAATATTGGAATAAAACAGAGTGAAATCTCGCGTTCAGGCCAACTTACTCTCACATACGAGAACTTGAAATCGGAGCATACTTTTAAAAAGTTTCTCTCGTTACCCGCACGTTTCAAAGATACAAAGTAAATAAAAGGTTGCAGGCGGTCTTGAGAGCGCTACTTCGCTAAGATGAAACTTTTTACTGCAACTGGAATAGACTTCATCTCGTCGAAGACAGCGCGCATTACTCCTTCCTTCCTATTTCATCGCACTCCCGCCGTTTCCATATTTATTCGCCGCGCTCTTGTCTCTTTCAATTTCCTCGAAGCGATAGAGATGTTCCTACATTGATACAATTGCCAATATGCCCCCGTTTACATTACACATATATCATAAGTAACGTTACTAGTTTTTACTGATTGGTATTTATATTGTTAAATTGTAGGAAAGATGGTGTTTATATGCACAATTCTCTAAGTACTATAAACTTAATTGATTACCTGTTTAAGGTTCTTAGTAGAATCATTCTCTACCAACTTCTAGTGTATACCTGTACGTAGATACATCTGTTTGGTTTTTTCAACGCGTTTAAAAGGACGTTTAAAGGACTTCAACTCGATTTTAGAGAAGAAACTATCGTTTTATAATCATGTTTATGTCTAAAATACAACAACATTCGTGACAAAGATAACAATTTGTAAAGAAACAGTAATCAAAGAGCACACTTTTGTTTTGTGATTAAACGAGCTTCACCGATGTTGTGAACAAAAGTCAGCAGATTTTTCTTGATTTTAATTTAAGCCAAAAATGAGCAGTTTTTGCTTCACAATTTGAAAACTGTGCGATATCTGCAATTCAGATGTTCCCGCTATTGTTTGCGTCTTCCATTATACCATGGATGATTTGCAAATATCGCCATTGTATATACTTGGATTGTTACTAAATACGTAAAGATAATATAACTAGTTTTCAAACGATAACATATTTTCATAAACTTTTACATTTATGATACTATATTTAGAGATGATATCAAGTCCGATCTAAAACATACTATGACAATCTTGTGACCGGCCACGCTGACATACACCACGGTACATCCAGTACATTGAAGACTCATTATACAGTAAAAATGTGTTTGTGTCTTGTGAAAATGTCAATGGAAATAGGAAATTCTTGTAAGATATCGCAATGGGATTAGAAAAACAATATTATTAGAAAGCGATATATAATAATGTATCATTTGAACACGATATCTTCGCGAAGAAATATTTTCTGGTTAAAACACAAGGGTGTTATTAGCGAAATGGAAGCAATTTTCCTCAAATAAAACTTATTAGATATCGCGCCAGGCCGCGGGGGCAGCGGGGGCTGTGGGGCGGGGGCGAGGAAGGTGTATGTGAGGCGCATAATTTTACCCTCGCCAAATATTGTTCCGGAAGAATGTAATGGAGCACCTTGTTTTTCAAAGATTTAAAACGATCCTTTTTTTTGTAAAATGTTAAGTAACCGTTCAGCTTACGCGAAGTTTCACATCACCTGTGCCTGACTGGAAATTTCGTCATTTAAATCAAAAAGTCATGTCAGCATATTGTTAATTTATAAAACCTTACATAAAATGTTAATTTAACGGCGGTGCTGTGCCGGCGGCGGCCGCGAACACCGCACTATGAATAAAATAAAACGCAGGACAACCCCGACCTTTAAATAACGTCAAAATTTAAAGCGCCCGGAAGTGTTTCCCTGAAGTACTAAAGCTTTTAATACAAAATCCGTCGGAGCAGAGATTAAGATGAATTGTAAAGGTTTATTCTGCGGTGCGGAGATAATGTCACTCGAGTGTTTACTGAAATACTCGACGTGAGTGAATTATGTTTGGGATAAAAGTCAAAAATAAAGCCTAAAATTATATAACTAACTACATGAGTTTGAAAGATTTATGTTTAATTGTCTATTATATGTCCACTATGTCAACCTTATTAAATAGTGTTGGATATAGGTAGCAATGATACGACCGCTAGCTTAGTGCAGACTCGTTTATTGACATCTGTGTCACACTGACAGCTGGCGCAGCAGCCGTTCTTTTACGCGCACAGATTATGCGCCTATGTACATATACACCAAATAGTTATTGAATCTTATTAACAAGTAAAAATTTGTAATAAAGTAGAACATAGTGTGAGCCACATTTATGAAGCATCCCCGCTCTCAGTAGATAAGGGAAGCCTCGCGGCGACGGATTAATCATATTGATCTCCCTCTATCTTTCCAATCTCACAATTTCCTTATTCTATATTGAAAACTTATAAACTAAGCTGGGGCCGTGCATTTCTTATATATCTCATCTCATCTCATATCCTCATTTTTAGCCAAAATACTGCCTTGAAGCATTGTGATTAAGTTTCATTTGAACGCAAAATATTAAAAAGAATCATACTTCATGCTAATATTATAAATGCGAAAGTTTAAATGGATAGATGGATGTTTGTTAGAGTTTGTAGCCTAAATTGCTAAACGGATTTCAATGAAATTTCGCAGACATGTAGAGGATAGTCTGGACAAACCCATGGGCGAAAGTTAGTCTTGTCAATAAAATGACATCAATTATTTTTACTACTTTAAAGTAATATTTTGAATGTTGTCAGGTGAGACGTCGAGTGCGCCAGCTCGCAACACGCCGTCGTCGCTGTCGGCGCCGCTCAGCGCGCCGCTTGTTGTGCCGCTCGCCACACCGCTCGCCACCCCGGTACGTACACATCTTCCTCGTTTCTTAAACTGCCTATCATCACTTTTATTTCATTTTACAGAATAAAGAAAATAATTGTCAGAATGCACCCAAGCCAAAAGTCGTGAGACTATGTTTCTGTAGCGTTTACATCGACCAGAACCTCATTCAACTCTTTGTTTCTCAACACTCAGTTTACAAAATCTCAAACAATCGTATTGTATACGAACGTCTTTCCGACTCTCACGAACCTTTTTACTTTCCTTATTTATACTCCGTTGACGTTATTTTTGTCGTCCTTGAATGGTTGTTGTTCGCGGAGAGAAAAGATTTCCTTCTTCGTAAGGCTCTTATAAAAAGGAAATAAAAGAGCCACCTCCCGGATAATGCGACGGCTAAGCTTCTCTGAATAAACTATTATTCTGTCACATATTCACTGTTTGAATACATTTAACAATAACAATAACTAATAACTTAAAACTACCCCAATCAGGCACCATAAAGTATTAAAACTATAACTCACGCAGATTAAAACATAGGACCACGTATAATAATAATATTTCGAAAACAACGTAATTGTAAAGAACACAGTTGTGTTTAAAAAGTTTTAGTTTTAAATTGTTTTGTAGCAGAATGAAAACTGTTATTCTTCCCACAGTTAAGGCACTTTGAGACAGCACCGTTTGAGCGATAGATTTCGCATTTCCAATATTTTTGTTTAGTGATATCTTCAGATAATAGCCTTCTGTACGCAACGCCTTAGTGGTGCGGGACCCGACGGCAGGCTAACAGCGAGACGACGAGAAATTCATACTTTATTGTCTCGCTGTTACGTTCTTAGAAACTGTCCATTGACACTCCTTTAGCGTGTCTGCCTCCAGTTAGTTTCGATTGTGCTTTATCGCTGCGGGGCGCGGAGCAACGATTCCCCGATGTGGTGGAGTATCGCGACATCGGACACCGCACTACAATAAACTGGAAACGCATTGCCCACTGATTGGATGGACTCTTTACGACGGTCTTTACACTTTATTGAGTCTAGATATCCTTTGTTTGGTTCTATTTGAAGTAATATTTTGATCAAGCATTATGTAAGTTTAATAAAAATATACGAGTGTCTATTATTATTTGTTACTGGGCATTTGTGTTGTGGTAGGTGAGCACGTGGGCGCCGCGCAGTGCGTCCGGCTCGCTGCGTGCTGCGGACCTCAACGTGGACGCCATCAAGGAGAAGCTGCTGGACAACCGGATCCCAGAGTCGTGCGTGTAGTGCGCTGCGCCGCGGACAGCAAGCTGCAACTTAGTCTCATGTTGTACAATCTCCCAAAACACTGTCCTATGTAAATGATATGTAGATAGCGCCCTTCATCGCTGAGGTTATCCACCGCGATCTCCCCCCCCCCACACTGAGTATCCGATTTCGACAATATCATTCGATTCATTCCGGAAATAAATCGTTTTGATTAAACTGATCCTTTGCACTGAAATTGGATACTCGCGGTGTGATTTTGTAAAAATCAAATACTTTAAACCATAATTTTGTTTTATAACTCTTTGTGATGTAAATAATAGGTTTTAAGCGACTGATTCTTTGCCACTTTTTTACATGTCTACGAAATCTAGATAATACAATTAGTTAATTAATGAAACATGTGAATGGAATCGTCGTGATCTGTATAAATATTGAGTATTTCCTTTTGTAAATAGAGTTTGTACTTGACTTTGATAGTTTAAAGTCGGCTTCAGAGTGTCACCGATAGATAAAGTAATGTCGGCGCAGGCGCAGCTGCGGGAGTACTTACAAATTCTCGCGAACAAAGGAGTAAAGAATTCTTTCGTTTCTCCGCAAATGTTAATGTCTAGTACTTAAGTTACAACTTACACCCGTTTTATTTCCTCGCAGTCGAGTATGTAAAGTACAAAAATCATTCAAATATTTTACCTTGACCTCATACAAAGTCCCATCAGCATATTATAAAGATAACTGTGAGGCCAAATGTTGGCTTTAGTTCGGTGTAAATCAATGTATATCAAATTTGTCCGAAGTGTTCAATTAAATATCAAATTAAATTCACATATCATGTTTCTCGTGTGTTTGAGATACATATCACATACTCGTACAGTTGACATATCGTAACAATGGCCACACCCCGCGCAGGCGCAGGCGAAGGCGCGACAAACGGCGACGTCGACCGACTGATCTTGGTGGAATAGCGAATTAAAACTATCCTTAGGTAATTTAATTTGTAAGTAAGAAGTGATTTGTTATTATAAAGTTTAAACAAACTCAAAGAGTTCGCCCTACTGTTGACTTATTTATTTTTGAAGAGAATAAAGGTTGTCTTGGAAGAGAATGTTGTTTTTATATCCCTCTGAAAAATTCAAACTAAGACAGAAATAGTGCTTTTTCAAATAAAATCTTTCAAACAAACTTTAAAAAATCTGCTCCGGACGAGTATTGTGCAGATGCAAGTTACTTTGCTCGAGGTACTAGGATGTGTAGACCTTTACCTCCCATTACTGGCTCGGTGCTGCACACGGCAACGAGCGGTAAGCTATCTCTTCACCTTGTTACTAGCAACATTTAGTATTAGACAAAAAGCACACAAAATGTTTTATGGCGTTTATAGTCTGTGTTCTATAATGTGTAAATATACACATACATAAGTCTATGTTACACTTACAAAAATAGCAAAGACAGCAAAAATATTATCCAAAGCGATAAGGTCGAAATTGTTCGAGCGCTATTGCTTTGTTTTGAGGGTAAGTGGATAATAATAGGAAGGGACACAAGCACAAGGAGAGTCGTTAGGGCGGCGCCGCTGAAATGAATCATAATGGGCCCCCGCGAGACAGCGGCCTGCGCAAACCTTAAATAATGTAAACGGCCATAAGATGTAAAAATGCGCTGTCATTTTTGTGCGGGAAAAACTTTTTTCTTCATAGTGAGCTTAAATTTATTTTAGCCCTTTTTCCTTAACAAGTATGCGGTAAAAGATGATACGGTTTGGTAAATAAACGTAACATCTGCTTGCGTAACACAACATTACATAACAAAAGCCCTTCTGTTTTTTGCTACCGAGGTACTTTTGTGGTTGTTTTGTAATTTGAATGTTGCTTGTTATTATTATAGTATAAAGTACATTTAACAAACACCTTTGACACTCTACAGCAGCTGTTACTCCTCATAAAGAACAGGTGTGTTCTGTCTGTATTGCATTGTAAACGAGTAAATCTAAGTGTATTGGTAAAATATTCACTTCTTACTTTATATTAATAAGCCAATAATTTCTTGGATTTTAGTTAAATAATTAAAACGTCGATTACTTAGCACCTTAATTTCTAATTATTAGCAATAACCCAGACAAGGGCGACGCCCACGGGCTGTGTTATCGAAATAGATTCTAAAAACTATCGCTGAGAGTAACTTTATAAACAATTGAATTAAACGAATGTATTTTCACTGAAGAGACGAAGTTGTAAAAACTGTATTCCTATTTGTTAATTTAATTTTTCAATCGTTGTAAATTATGTGTGGAAGAGGTATGCGTGTGTAAAATCCTTATGTTGTATTCTCTATATCAGCGGCGGCGTTTCTCTTTCGGCTCATAATCGTAAATAAATTGTCCGAACGTTTATTTAATCCCATTCGCAAAATCCGATCCAAAAAAGGCGTTTTAGTATCTTTATTTGCCATTGAACACAACGAGGGCCAGTCTAATGGATTTGGGCTAAAATACGGTTTCGATAACCCAGTGAAGCGCGGTGGAACAGGCGGGCAGGAGGGCAGGAGGGCAGGCCGGCAGGAGGGCAGGGTTACGTGGCTTACTGCCTCAACTTATTATTACTGCGCCCACACCAGACACCTACCCTTTACAATTAAATACATTTACTTAATGTAATTGTAACCAATTTAGTTTGCAAAATATCAAACTAATTACATCTGTTCTAACGATGTTTTTAAAATTGCATATTATTAATTGAATTAAATAAAAAAGGTCTTAGTTGTCACGAGTGAGGACACACAATAGAAATAGTGAACTTCATCCAAGAACGTTGTGAAACACAAATACTTTCTTATTACTAATGATTGTAAATACTCATCTACTTGAAGGAAGACAAGTGTGACTGTGTGTCATTGTTGAAGCAATGAAAGCCGGCAAGTGGGCCCGCATTAACATAACGAACAGCTGTGTACAAAACAAATATTGAAATTCCGAGTTTAAATGGAATTTTGATTTGATTTCTTTGAGGAAAAATTTTAATTTCAAATTATACCGAGATGAAAAATCTCGATCAGGCCATCAAAAGTTTTGCGGCGGCTCGGGGGCCGGGGTGCGGGGCGTGCGGAGGGGAGGGGGGACAGCCTTAGTCCGCGGATTTGTGCAAATTTGTTTCAAGTAAGTACTTTTATTGGAGGTTTTAAAACTTGTGTGGATACAACGATTACATTTAGGTTTTCCTTTTTAGGTATATAACTTTATCTTGGTGTCAATAACACTCATCTGGTGTTGAGATAAATAATGTTTATTTAAATAAATAAATAAATTAAATCTCACTGCCAACATAACGTAAACTTGTACCATAATACGTGAAACATATCTGTCGCGCTGGAATTATAATGTAATGACGTTATATCATGTCGTCACGGACCTTTATTAAATCACAGTCAGAAACAAAAGCGCGCGACGCACAAACGAAGCGTTTACGTTTCATGTAATGCCTAAATTAATTTAACATACAAATAACATTTTTACAACGTAAGCGGGTCCCCGACGAGGAATTACTCGCCCACGTACTGGCGGCGAACGTGAAGGAAATTAAGTGTCAGTCGCAGATCTCGAGTACGCGAGAGAGTTCATACAACACGACACGTCGTGCTCGCGCTCGTGTGCTCGTGTGTATTGCTCGCGCCGCCCGCCCAGCCGCCCGCCCAGCCACCCAGAGCACGCCGCACTGACGTGTCACCATGTGTCACAGTTCTCGACGCGTCACGTCACAGCGCATATTGCAAATTAATACGTCACATCGCTCAACATGACAACATTACGCATACTTAACTAAACAACCAATGATCGTTGATTCTTATATCCATGTTATTTAAAGTAGAATCTTACAGATCTGCTCTCTTTAATCTTACTAATATTATAAATGCGTGAGTTTAGATAGATGGATGGATGTTTGTTACAGTTTGTAGCCTAAACAGCTGAACGGATTTCGATTAAATTTGGTTTTGATGTATAGGATAGTCTGGAAAAATACATAGGCTACTTTTGTTCATCTTTTAATTTCATGCGGACTGAGTCGCGGGCGAAAGCTAGTGCAGACATAAAGAAAAGTTTCTAAACAAAAACACGGCGTAAAATTGTGCTACTAAAATACTGCGCTATCATGAAATTTTATGACAAAATAAAAAAAGACAATAACCTGTACAATTTTACAGTCTTCAGTGAAAATACAAAATGAGGAACGATTGTATATTTAATGTTATTTCCAACATCGACTTGCAGATTTTTTAATTCAAAACAATAAAAACAAGTTTTATGTTATGTAATAAATTTAGCTAAACAGCGCAACGATAACGCAAACAGTAAATTAGCGTTTATAATACGACGACTCGGAATTCAAGACGGGTGTAGACAAATATAGTACGAGTATATATTTTTGTTACAATGGCAATTAATGTCGTTTACTGCTTGTTAGTTACTAGCAGTTTATACCTATGATTATCGCATAACACAGCGGATAAAATACTGCGAACACAGTTTGCGACACGTTACAAAGAGTAAAGTAGTGGTATAAGCGGTAGTGAGTGAAGCCGCTCTAGTTCATTCGATGGTTTCGAGAAGCTCTCCGCCAGTGGGGCAAGTGATCGCACTGCCGGCGCTAGTGCAGCTAAGGCGACGACACGACGAGTACTACTATATGTAGGTAATTGCTGCTATGTAGTACTTCAATCGAATCTACGTACACTTTAAAAACATTCTTTAAACAGACTTTAATTTATTTGACGTAAGGAAATGAATCGTCAAATGAGACCTCCTTGTGAGCACTTGAATCCCCCTCCCCGCGTCCCTCGTCGCCCCTGCGATTACAAACATACTCGTGATTGATTTCGTTTATTGAACCAAGAAAAATATTTATCGTTCGCTTTGCGTGGCCTCGCGCGCGCCTCGCACTTGATTACATCGCTTATAGAAAATTATGTTCACGTCACATATGTTAAGAGGTTCATTAAGTCAGAAATCGTTGTGAACTTTTTAAACATACACACGTAGAAATCATAACTCGTGATAGGATTTATGTTCCGAGTTTTGTACAGTACGAGGGCTTTTTTTTAAACATTAAAATATTTGTTTCGATTTCGTTCGTTTCACTTCCTCACAGTAATTTTTAATATATATCTCAGTAAATATACGATACATTTTGAAGTAAATGTAATACACTCGCGCCTGCATCCTCGGGACACGTAATTTCTTTTACGGACGTTTAATTTCCTCCGCGGACCTTCGCAGCAGTAATGGTCGCCATTGCTCATTGTCAAAATAATCTCGCTCCGCCGGTGGTTTTGTAGTGCGCATTTCAAACACTATATTACTCCGTAGACTTTTTTTATCTTCCCTCTAAGGAAACGGGTATCTGATTATCTCGTGCAATAAAACAGCCTGTGGCAACTTTAGCAAGTGTTTTCCTGCATTATTACAAATGTGAATATGAAATGTGGATGTGGCTTGCGTGCATGTCTGTCTCTTCTTAAATAATTCTGCGGCGGGGCGTGGGCGGAGGCGGGGGCGGGGGTTGGCGTATGAACCGTGAAAATTTAACGAGGAAATGGAACAACTTGATACGTAACGAGATTTATACGTCGAAATAGTTAAAAATGAAATTCAGTACACAATGTACAATTAATACGGAATTTATTTTTATTCACGCATTTTAATTTCGTAACATAAATCGTAAATTCGATTAAAGATTCGTTAAATTTGTCGACACCTGGGCGCCGGCGCTGGGCCGTTTGCGTGAACTAGATTAGAAGTAACGGCCGCTTTCAAATTTATTGAACAATTTAGTTAATGAGGACGATCGACAAGTAAACTGCCGCCGCGCCGCTACTCCGGGGATTGTTTGATGGCGGCCGTTTGATCTCTACATTCTTGCTACTCAGTTTTACTTAATTTTCTCTACGTGTTATTTATTGCCGTATATTTTGTCTGTGATTTAAAACATCATCCTTACCAAGACTAAAAGAAATATTCTTATTCACTTCTACGTACTTGACAACTTCAACTGACACTTGGCGCTTTACCATGTCTTTCAGCACTACATGCACAGCTTGTGCGGTGAATAAATT